AACCAGACTGAAATTCTACTTATACTCACTAAAAAGGCTATAATAAAAACAACCTAAAAGGAAAGTTACAGGGGGATGACCTCCAAGAATTTCTTCGCATGCAAAACATACTTGCCATGATACACACACATATACACAAACAACAAACATACACATGTGTATTTCTGTGTGATTGTGTATGTATCTATCTGGAGAAAGTATAATTTTGGATTATCTCAAGTATATTGTGCATACTCATGAGAAAAATACTTTATCTGTTGATATATACTAGGTGTTTCCAACATTTCCTGGCATATAATAACTGCTCAATAAATAAACAATAAATGATTTTATATCTCTATCATCTCTGTCTTTTGATTCTCAACAGATACATTTTTTATCGGTCTTTCCAAATCCTCTCTGTCTTAGGTTTGGGTTCCTTTTCATTAATTTGAAAATTAACTCTTAATAAACAAGGCTGTAAATTTTTCTCCAAATATGCTTTCACAAGATTCCATAACTTAGATTATAAATTGTTTTATTACTCTTTGATTTACAACATTTTCTAATTTTATTGTGATTTGGGGAGGAGATTACAAGTTATTAAAAGTGCTTTTCAAATCCTACCAATAGAGATTTTCTCTTACAATTAATTTTCAGCCTAACTGAAAAGATATACTTTGTGACTTTATTTCTTTTTCTCACTGAGTTTATTGGTACATTCTAGGTACACAGTAGAGTTGCATTAATTACTGGGATCTTGTACCTTTACATGACAGGTCTTGGTTCGCATTTTTTCCCCTTGTCCCTGCCCTCTCTTCACCCCCTCTTCCCCTCCCCATTTACAAACACTTTATTTCTATTTTTTCATTTTCTCATACTTTTTTCTTTTCCCTTATTCCCATTCCCCTACCCTTCCCACTTTTGCTACCCCTTTAACCCTTTTCTTCCTATTTCACACTGTTAACTATTCCATTAGGATCTTGTATACTATTATAGTTTTTCACACCAGAGGAACTATTCGGTATTTACACATGTATGACTTATTTATTTCACTTAGGAGTATATCCTTAAAATGTATCTATTTTCCTATGAATGACTCTAATTTCTCATTCTTGATGGCTGAGTAGTATTCCATCTTATAGAAAAAGCACATCTTTATCCAGTTTCCAACTGATAGGTAAATCGGCTGTTTCCAAGTTTTAGCTATTACAAACTGTGCCACTATAAACGTAGAGCTCTAGTCCCAGCTCTTTGAGGTATCTCCATATTGATTTCCACAGTGGTTGCACCAGTCTGCACTCCCACCAACAATGGAGAAGGGTTCCTTTCTCCCCACAAGCCCTCAAGCATTTGTTGTTGGTTGATTTCTTGATAGCAGCCATTCTTTCTCAGGTGAGGTAGAATCTCAGTGTTGTTTTCATCTGCATCTCTCAAATGACCAGTGATATGAAATATTTTTTCATATATTTATTTGTTGCTTTTACTTCTTTGTCTGAAAAATGTCTGTTTATTTCAGATGCTCGTTTTTGAATCGGGTCTTTATATTTGGGGGGCTGATTCTTTTGAGTTCTTTATATATTCTAGATAAGAGCACTTTGAGGAGCAGCTGGTAAAAATTTTTGACACTTTTAGCAGAATAGCTGGATATGAGGTCAACACTCAAAAATCAATAGCCTTCTTGTACACAAATAACAGACTTACTGAGAGAGAAATTAAGGAAACAATTCCTTTCACAATAGCATCCAAAAAAATGAAGTATCTAGGAATCAATCTAATGAAAGAAGCAAAAGACCTCTACACTGAAAACTACAGCACTTGGATAAAAGAGATCGAAGAGGATATAAGAAAATGGAAAGATATCCCTTGCTCCTGGGTAGGAAGAATCAACATAGTGAAAATGGCTGTACTACCAAAACTGCTATACAGATTCAATGCAATGCCAATTGAAATTTCAACACTATATTTCACAGAACTAGAAAAAAGAATCCAAAAATTCATTTGGAACCAGAAGAGACCCAGAACAGCAAAAGCCATCCTAGGCAACAGAGACATGGCAGCGGGTATAACAATTCCCAATTTGAAACTATACTACAAAGCCACTGTGATAAAAACAGCATGCTACTGGCCTAGAAACAGATCTCAGGATCAGTGGAACAGACTGGAAGTTATAAACACAACTCCAGATATACTCAGCTACCTCATCTTTGACAAAGGAGCTGACCATCCTCACTGGAGGCAAGGTAGTCTCTTTAATAAATGGTGATGGAAAAACTGGATTTCAACCTGCCAGAGATTAAAACTAAACCCTTATCTTTCACCATGCACTAAACTAAAATACAAGTGGATTAAAGATCTAAATATTAAAGTAGAAACACTAAACTTGCTGGAAGGTAAGTTAGGCAGAACTCTTGAAGACATTGGCATAGGAAAAGACTTTATGAACAAATCCTCAGTAGCACGGGAACTGGCAGAAAGAATCAACAACTGGGATCTCATCTTACTAAAAAGCTTCTGCACTGCAAAAGAAACCATCAAAAGAACTAAGAGACAACCTACAATGTGGGAAAAAATACTTTATGTGACTTTAATCTACCATGAATTTTAAAGACTGCTTCATTTTTTAAGAAATAACCTTTTCCTATCTTCTTAAATGTCTGTGCATCTTTAAAAACAATATAAATCTCTATTTGGTGAATAGTATTACATATTCCCATATGCTAATCAAATATACTGCATCCTTATTAATCATGGTGCAGGACTAAATTATTTTGACAATGTTCTAGGTACCCCAAGTTGCGCATACAAATTAATTTGCTCCTAAAAATGTATAAGGGAACAAGAAAATACGATTGTATTCCAAAGGAGCCAATGGCAGTTACAATCAAATAACATTTTACAGCTCTTAAAAATACAAATCACCTTCGCTGTGTCTCATGTTTTAGAAATATTATTTAAATTACAAAGTGAGAAACAAAACTTTCATTTTTTTTCTGATGGATTTGATTTCAGTCTCCAGAAGATAAAAACATATACTTTCATATTATAATTGACTATTTACTTTTCCAGAAGATGTGGTTTATGCCTTTAAAAAAAGAGTTGTTTTTTTCCCCGTTCTCTCTGTTACTTCTAATGCATTTTTACCTCAGCTTATTTCAGAAGTTTCCTCTATATAGATGTTTAACCTCTACTTAGAATTTTTTTTTAAAGTAGGCTTAAAACCCAAATACTTGGTTAGTTGCCAGCCAAACTTCTTAAATCTGTTGCTATGGTGATTCTTTTATTTTTTTTCTTACTATTCTTCTGGGTGTAATTAGAACATCAAAGTTTATAGCATATACAGGGTAATAACACCACTCATAATTCCTATAGCAGATTCTACCCTTCTATAATTAAAACATAACATTTAAGACTAGTAAGCTGGGAATACAGTTAAATTTTTAATGCATAACAAAAAATAAGCAATGATATGTAAAAAATCATTCTTACATAATGAGATCCAATGTAAAACTGAAGATTACTTTTAGTATTTTTCTAATATTTTTATTTATTCTAAAGAGTTGAAGAAGTTTTCCTTTTCCTATCTGTTACCAGGAAATAATTCAATTTTCTTGCTCCAATGCTGCTGAGATAAATAGGCCCACTAAGAACTTAAAAGTTATTGGGTAAACAGCAGTTAATCAAAAAACACTTTCTAGGAAATAAAGTGTTTGTAGATGGGGAGGGGAGGAGGGGATGAAGGGAGGGCAGGGGTAAGGGGAAAAAATGAGAATCAAGACTTGTCATGTAGAGGTACAAGATCCCAACAATGAATGTAACTGTACTGGATCCCTAAAATGTACCAATAAACTCAATTAAAGCTGAAAAAAAATAACACTTTCTGGTAAAAGTTACCCTCAAAAAGCTTATGATTAATTTTGTCTTCTTAGTTCCCATAAAAAATTACAATAGGAAGTCTTCAAAACATTTTTGACATCGTGGAACATCAAAATACTTCCCAAATACAGAAATTCCTTAAAACATTTAGTATTTTAGTGTCCGAATTAAAGAAACTAAAAAAAATCAGCCATAAATAAATGGATATTTTAGGTACCAAAACATTAAATTACATATCTAAGAAATAGATAAACTGGCAACATCACAACCTATCTGCTCTATTTAACAGATTACCTGGAGTTGTGTGATATTAGAAATGGCAATGAAGAAACCATACAGACATTCCATGCAAAAGTTAACCAGAATTTAGCAGAAAATATTCACAGGGAAAGATGAATTATTGATAAATATGAAATTCAACATTAGCCAGGTTTTTCGTTGACATGTACATGATAAAAGTGGATTTTATAAGAAATCGTACCCAGTACTGAAGGAACAAATCTCTGTGTGCTATCTGGGTAATTTGTATATTTATTACTTTTTTGCAACACTGTTTTACACATAAGTGGTGTGGTAGCTTGTGCAGAGCAATGGATCATAAAGCAAATTAACTGGGTGCCAGGGTCAAGCGTGTTAGTACACAATTGGATGAATATTCCCCAAATCTGAGTCATTCGTGTTAGTGGCTTTCTCCACTAAAACACTAACAGTATCTTTCCTGCTTCTCTGTCAGGGCTTTGTGAAGATCAGGAAATTAGTCCATAAAGGGACTTTAAAAGTTTTACGTCCTGTTAAAATATGAGATCTTATTATGCTGAAGTTATCCTTGATAGTCCAGATTGGGTTTCTGACAGCAAATAACACAGAGATGTAATCATCCTGCTCAGAAATCACTGTAACAGTAGGATAACTTGTCTACTTTCTTTCTAACAGTTTATATTCAACTCAGTCTGGTTTTAAATCAATGGTGGTACTCAATGAAGTACTGAAAAGGAGAAAAATCATGCATTTAAATAGTTACATCACCTTACCTGACTCTGCTACTGCCAAACATCAATATTCAGTTTGCCAACACTGAACACATCACAGTGTGTGTGTCATGGGTGATTAAGGCCTAAGTAAGAACACGGAACACTTTCACTTACTGCAAAGGAAAGCAGACTCATCAGAGTTATCAGCACAGTCGTTCACAAAATCACACAGCTTGTGCTCTGGAATGCACTGCTTGTTAGCACAGGAGAATTCCTGGGCAGTGCACTTTCTGTCAGGGCTGGGCAAGGGAGAACAGTCTTGAAAGGAGACATCGTCCACTGCTACATCTCCTATGTAACTGACACCACGTTTTGCCCTGAAGCCAATCTAAAATAAATGTACAAAACAACACAGGAAAATCCAGTTAGAGTTGAAGATGTCACTTAAAAAGTTCTATAAGGAACAAAGACCAAACACAACATATCAAACACAAGTTTCATTGATTAAAAAACAAAAAAGCCTCCACGATAAAAGTGACCCATTAAACCTGAGGTTTATCCAAGATCTGGACCTTCTTCAGCTCTTAAGTTATGTCAGAGCAGCAACGCTACCGCCTCGGATCTACATGGGGAGGACAGGTAACCCTGCAAAGGGGTAGGAACCAGCAGCTCGCTCCTGCTGCCTCTGCGAGCTTTAGGATCTCAACCGAGAGCCGCCCATGTCTCACAGCTTCCTCATTCATGGAACCTGAGCGCCCATCTGCTGACGGAAAAGCACGGAGAGAGAAGGTACAAGCACATCCATCAGCCCGTTCAATTCTTGCCGTCCCATGGAATTGTCCACCCCAATCATCATTTGGAAGTGAAAAACATCAGACCTCACCATCATGAGTTGGTTTGTTTTGTTTTGTTTTGCTTGGTTTGGCACCAGGGAGTGAATTCGGGACCTTGCACTTGCGAGGCAGGTGGCGGAACCACTGAGCTAAATCCCCGGCTCTGCTGTTTTTTTGATGGCCAAATCTTTGGAACTGAAACGATTTTGATTTGTACTTGAGTAACACTCAAGGGCATGAATAGAATCTTCAGGGGCCCTATGATTTGACAGTGATTTCCCAATCACACAGAATTTAGTAGATCATCAGTGATTAAAAAATAAAAGGACACACTAAAATTTTCAGAGTTTCTAATAATACCATTGCTTCAAATAACAATGAACATTGTTTCATAGAACATAAAAAGTCATGTGTTTATCTTCAGATCCGCAAGTAAAATTGATCCAGCATTTCTAGTAAATTTCACTGTAAGGCAAATGCCTACACATTAACATAGGAAACATTTTGAAGTAAATTTAGAACAGATAGAGATGAGATAAAAAGTAAAGATTTACCTTTGTGATTACTGGTACCCAACTCCTAACAACATTTTCACAAATGCTAAACAATTGTTTTTCTTGAAAGAAGTGATTAGTTTTTTCTTAAAATGGTATGTCTTTAATATTATTGTATGACTTGCATCTTTTCTTTTAAAGGTAAGATGACAGAATTGAAATCATAATACCTGCCGCATTATCAAAGGAAAATTATGTAAATACTGAACTTACATAACAGGAATAAATTGTTTTTCATAGCACGTGGGGAAGAAAAGATAAACAAATCTTTAAAATACAAGAAGAGCTTAGAAGTCATTACAAAGAGGTGAAACTCAAAAAATATAATAGGAATTACAACTTGCTTACAAGAGAAATTAAGTACTGGAGCAACATTATATGAGAGTGATGCACTATTATCTGGAAAGTATCTATTTACATATGTGACACAATGCTTTATGAAAAAGAAATCAGAAAATGAGTGTTTCAGTAATTATTTGTTAAACTGGTTCTCTCTGAGATTCAATGCAATCTCATTAACCAGCCACGTTTAAATGATCCAATTATTATTTATCAATGTTCTATGAAAGGATGGATGTAATTATACACGTGGTATTGTCAAATATATCACTGAATGCTCTTGAGAACCAATTACAGGGGGGGGGATGTAGCTCAGTGGTTCCGCTCCCTGCCTCGCAAGCGCAAGGATCGGAGTTCGATTCCCGGTATCAAAAGAAAAAAAAAGAACCAAGTGCAGCCCAATGTTTTGTTCAGCAAAATGATTTCTAGGTCAAATATTTCAAAAAAAGTTGGCCGACAATACAGCACAGCAGTTCGAGTGCAGATGACCTCCTTGCAGCAAAAGTCTACAACTGCCGTTTGGTAGTTATATAATCACAACAAATTTCCTAACTTTCAGGCCTTTCTGACTTAAAATCTATAGAATGGAAATTTATGTTTAAGTATTTCATAGGATTATTATAAAAAGCAAACAAGTAAATATTTTAAAGCTCATAGGGAAAAAGTTAAAATTTTTATAATTAATGAGTTTTGTTTAAACGTAAGGGCTTCTGAGTAAAACTGCAAACTTCCCATAGCTTTTTCAGAATGCAATTTCTAAAAAGTCATAGTTTCACTTAAGTATTACAGGTACTCATTTTTCTGAGGAAAAGAGAGCCAACTGTAAGAATGGAAACAGCACGAGCAGCGTCCTTCTACACAGTGTCACATCCTTTGCAGGTAACAGGTAGTAAGATTTACCGAATGAATGAAAGAGCCACATGAAAAGGCAAATGTTTACAAGCCATTCATAACTGTATTTAAGATTCAAATAACATGAGTGAACATCTCCAGTAAAATTTCAATAGGCAAATAATTAGAATTTTAGAAAAACTCCGCAATTGATTTCACTTGCCAAAATACACTGTAATATTATTTTAAGCTTCGCTTTACCGTGTCCATACTCTGTGTGCATAGAACTAGTTAAGAATTCACTGCCTGGGGAGAAATCATATTATCTAATAGCAGCAGAATCTCCTACGTGCTCTTACTGAGGATTCTTCCTGCTACAATTGTAAGATCATGGAGAGTGAACAGCTGGAATCTTTGAATAAAAAATTTCATAATTTCCAAAACCATTGAACTGTTACTCAATCTTTATTAATTTAGGTTGCACTTTTTACTCTTATCCTAAGTTTTCAACAAACGTTCCACAAGACAACCAGATAGTCCAGTAAGAGGAAACCATATGGGACTTATTATACCTATCATCGCAAGAAACCGAACACACTGTATAAAGATAGGTGTATCCAGGGCGTGCTTCGTTTGAAGTCGAAAGGGGCTGAGCTGTGAGAGAAAGTGCGTATTTACTGAACACTCCCCACCAAAGGGGCGGCCTGAGCCGCGCATGCAGAAGAGTGGAAACAGTGGAAACGCAGCGCAGTATCTCACCAGGATCGCATCCCTCCTACTAGGGATAAGTAGTTTTAGGTTCATAGAACTAAGCTCCGGGTAATTAAGATTAAGAAGGAAATGCCCACATAAAGGGCTCTGGGTTCTTACTCTGTATCTCAAAGTCTGAACATCCTGCTGTATTCTATCAGTCCACACCTTCAGGGGGTGAGGATCCCATGCACCACGGAGAGGCGCTTCCTGTACGTAGCGCACCCGTAGTTCTTTTCCCTTCCCTTTCCCTCGCTCTCTGCCCTGCCATCTCCTGATTCCCTTCCCATCTCCAAAAAACTTACCTCCCATGTTTTATTACCTAGTTCTTTTATTTCCCTCTTTAGATTATTTAAACTTTGGGTTTCTCATAGAAGAGAAGCCATGTGATATTTAGCCTTGTGTGTCTGATTTATTTCACTTTACTTTATGGTGCCAAGGTGCATTCATTTGCCTACGTATGACTCAGAGTTACCATTCTTTAGGTCGTATTAGTACTCCGCTGTGTATAAATACCACATCTTTATTCATTCATCTGTCAGCGGCCACACGAGTAGCTTCCGATATTTAAGTATTAGGGATTCTGCCGTTATGGGGCATGTAGCACCATAACACGATGTCTTTACCTCTTTCAGGAAAACACTTAACAGTTAAACTTCATCTTCCAAGCAAACTTCGCTTGTTTTTTTATTAACCCACAAAAAATAAAATGTATACCAAATACTTTACATAATTATTTTCAGTTTAAATATCTGGATCTATTCACTACTTGAAATTTCCTTGCATTAGTCGACACGCACTAGCCTGTCTTCATGTATCATTGGAATTTGTAAGAATCACGATAGTGCCCCCCAAAGTATTTGGAATCACATAAATAAATTACCCTACACTGTGTTTCAGTCATATAATGTGCTTTCAAAAGACTGCCCTTAAATTACATTTGAGTCAATTTTATGATGGTCTCCAAGTATGTATTTGCAAAATCAAGGGAGGTGTTGCAGGGAATAGAAGAAGTTTATCATTTAAATTAAGTATTGCTAGAAGGATGAATGCCTATTGGAGTGCACTTAGGACCTGATGACATTGCATTCTTTGTGGAAAAAAACACAGGGAGTTTTAGGTGGTGTGCACTCAGGCAATGACAAAGAGGACAGGGACTCTGAGGGGAGGAAATAATTCAGTATAAAAGCTGGGTATCTTTCCAAGAGAACTAAAAGAATCATATCACAGAGAAGTATGTGCACCCATGTTTATAGCGGCACAGTTTGTAATAGCTAAATCTTGGAAACAGCCCATTTGCCCATCCGTTGGAAACTAGATAAAGAAGTTGTGGTTTTTCTATAAAATGGAATATTACTCAGCCATAAAGAACGAGAAAATAGATTCATTCATAGGAAAATGGATACATATTGAACATATACTCCTAAGTGAAATAAATAAGTCACACATGTATAAATACCGAATAGTTTCCCTGGTGTAAATAATCTGCAACAATGCATAAGATTCTAATAAGATTACTGACATTTAGAAATGGGAACAAAGGAGATAAAAGTGTAGGGAAGGTGGGATGGGGAGGGGAAGAGTAAAAATGGAAAAGAAAAAAATGTGAGAGAATGAAAAGATGAAAATAAAGTGTTTGTAGATGGGGAGGGGAGGAGGGAGTGAAGGGAGGGCAGGGGTAAGGGGAAAAAATGAGAATCAAGACTTGTCATGTAGAGGTACAAGATCCCAACAATGAATGTAACTGTACTGTATCCCTAAAATGTACCAATAAACTCAATTAAAGCTGAAAAAAAAAAAAGAAGAAAACTAACAGAACCCCTTTGTCACCTAACTACTTGGATCACAAACCTGTACATAGGCGTGAATGCCTAGAAATACTTCCACTTTCCTCCACTGTGCACCTTGCTGTCCAATCTGAGCCCACACTTTAGAAGTAACATTGCCTTTCTTGATGAGTACCTGCAGAGACAAATGGAGCAGGTATTGAAATATTTTGTCCTAATACATTTTAAACAGGTAGAATTTTACCAGTGATTCTTTAAATTGTTAATATCTACATGAAGTCCCTCGGAGAAAAGATGAAATATCTTTCATTAGATTTCTTTATTTTCTACTATAAAAGTACAGCACCATGAGCCTCGGGCACCTGACATGCCTCCCATAATTCAGCTGTACATGAACATGTCTACTATAACTGGGCAACATTTTATTAAGAACTCAGTTGGTTTCTAAAATTACAGCATCAGTGATACTTCATATTTTATATGTTAAATACATACACGTGATTGAATTCAAAGCATGAAATCACTCACTATTACACTCTCTGGAGAATGACTTTTCTTAGTGGGTTGTTTTTAGTGGGGCAGTGTTGGTCCAATGTAAGCCCTTTCAACTGTAAAAGCAGTGATGGGCACTATGAGGGGTAAGAACTTCCAGCCTAACAGCCTTGAGACCACAAATCCTGATCAGTATTGGTTATAGTTTGGACATCTAAAAGTGGCCCTCAAAGGTAATTCTGGTGAAGATTTGGTCCCAAAAGTGGCTCGACTGGGCAGTGGTGAAACCTTAAAAAGGTGGGGTTTAATGAAAGGTTTTGGGTCGCTGGGTTCAAAACCTTGAAGAGGACTCGGGTTCCAGACCCACTGTCTTGCTGTCTCCTATCTCCCAACCAGGAGGTAAGCAGTACTGCTCTGCCATAACCTTCCATTACGTCCTGCCTCATTTCAGGCCAAAATCAATGGGCCAACCAATCACAGACCAGAACCCCAAAACCATGAGTCAAAGTAAATAATTTCTCTTTAGGAATTAATTACCTAAAGGTTTATGATCACAACAAAATGCTGCCAAAGTATTATACTGTTACTCTCCAGGGGAATTTGGATTTGTCTCACTGAACAAACCATCATGGCTCTTCTTTTAGAATGATACAAAATAAGTCATCAGGAGGATGACTCTAGGGTAGCACGGAACAGTTTCACATGTTAAAATAATTTCCAAAGATAGCTTATTTATTAAACAATATTGCTTTTCCAAAAATGGACACTGTAAAACCAAAGACTTATTCAAGTATGGTTTGTGAAGTTTTCACTTTTAAAAGTGAAAAAGCTTTTAATTTTATCATTAGCTTTTTAAGATTAAAGTTTTTGGGTTGGGGATTTAGCTTAGTGGTTCCACCGACTGCTTGACAAGCACAAGGTCCTGAGTTTAATCCCGGGTACCCCCCCCAAAAAAAAATAAAGTTTTGGGAACTTATTTTTATATAACTAGAGTTTTCTGAGTAATTTGCTGCTAGAACAGTATCATGAAATTCTTGGTCTATAAAATTCAAAGTCACTCAATATATTACCAAAGAAAATATAATTTTCTACCAGCAAAATAAATTAGGTGAAGAATACTGAAAAAAATGTATAAGAAAAAGAACATCTTTGCATGAATACATTAGCACAAATTGAGAAATGTGTTCAACCAACATATTAATATAAAGTTTAATATTTTATTCAACCACACACAGAAAGATAACATGCATTAAAATTTTAACTATGAAATGATTAGTTGCTTAAACAATTTTATGGTTGTATTGGAATTTTCATCTGATAACACAAATTATTTTTCTAAAAAAATAAAGCTATATTTCAGAACATTATTCTCAACCAAAATTATACCAGGTAAATAGTTTTCATTTTACTAATAAAATATCTGTAGTAAGCGACACTGATTATTTTGCCTAAAACCACTTTTGAAAAGTCAATGTAAAACAGAAAATAAATTATAATATCCATCCACAAGATTCTTTGAAGACCTTTAGATATATTAGTATACAAATATTCTTCCAAACCAATCTTGGTAATATCTCAGAAAGAGGACAATTCTTCCAAAATTGATGTCTAATATCTTCAGTTAAAAATAAAAAACTACTACTAGAATTTTTGAAATGTGTTTATCTAAAATTTGTTTGGAAAAAAGTAACATTTTATAGTTTCCAATAAAATTCTAGAACAAAAGGGTAATAAAATGGAAGGGGAAATATTGAATAATAAAATTACAATAAAGCTGTAGAGGAATGAGTGGGTAATCATCCAGACTGCAATTCACTTCCGTCCTTCAATGGGGAAAAAGGCGGCAGGCTACAAAATTATAATCTTGTCACGAATCTGCTAAACACAGACTTCTTTGCAAAACAAACTAATGGATTTTGACAAGAAAATCTTTCTAACTTGCTCCTAGTAGCTATAGCTGGTCTAACCCACTATTGGTTAGCAATTCTGGAATTTGTAGATTTATTTTTCAGACATAGCTACCTGAAAAATGACACATGCTATGAAACAGTATGAATGGAGATGCATCCTCTGAATAAGCAATGTATGGGAGTCCATTTCTAACAAATTTTACATCTTGTTCTGTACCACTACATGTCTAGTAGAGGAAAACAGGGCACTGGGTCTAGATTAATATTCCAGAACCTCTCTCTTCTTTGCTTGTATATCTGGGACTTCCAAAATAAATCAGAAATTAACCAGAAATAGATAATCCAGAGACGTGGCACTAAAATTAAAGAAAGGAAGAAATGCTCAAAGAATGATGTGGCTGGTTAATGAGACACAGAAATCAATTTAGGGGGACTCAGAGCAAATCTGAGACTATTCGTGGACCAAATCGTAACAGATTATAAAACACTGAATGAATGAAATAGGAACTCATGCATCCATGCCAATATAAAATAATAAACAGTCAAGTAAGAAGAAAGATTAGAATGGTTTTCATTAAAATAAAAACTCCAAAAGGAGACAGAATAACAGTGTTAGAAAACCACAATTAGGCCATCATCACAGTAAATTTAATTCAGGCAAAATACTACTAAAGCCAAAAACTGGTGACTAATTTTGCACCAAGATAAGGATTTTATCTAGCTTTAAATATTTCTTCAACAAATACTAATTGATAAAGGAAACAGAAGTACTGGAACTGACAGGAATCATGGATTAATGAGATATATCATAAAAGAACATAATATTGGTGATACCGGTAGCAAAATATATTGAGCAAATCTATCCTGAGGAACATTTTACAAAATGACTTGGCTGTAAGTTTTTAAAATATCAAGATAATAAAATCTAGGGAACACTAAAAAATCATTCATTTAAAAGGGACCAGAATAAAATTATTGGGTGCAATGTGTGATATTTCTTGCTGTAAGAAACATTACTAAGAAAATTGTTTTTAAAAAGTATCTCTGAAAGGTATATTGGATGGAGTTTTCTCCACTACCTGTGTAATGCTTTATGAGGTTAAAACAGTGTATGACATTAATTCTGTAAGAAATAATCTACAAAAGACTACTGGGGAAAATTGCAGCAGCAGCGTCAAAGATAAGACTCTATATCCAAATATCACCAAAGTGCATAAATTCATTGGATTGAGTTAGATAGGGCACATTCATACTGAAACTTACATGGTAAAATAGCATTACAAAGAAGCTGTCACATCAGACTGGGCATAATGGTGAAATTAAATATGGACAGAAATTACCTACATGTCACTAATGTGAAATTTTACTAAAGCTTTCTCTCAATTACACCATTATAAAACCAGTGAAATGTTGCTATGTCCCTTTTCAATTGCTAGGCAACTGTATTTTAATGAAACTAAATTATGTAGTTTGTGTTTTTATACAGAAAACTGAGGAAACACTACATCCTAAGCGTTACCTGAAGAGAACCGACTGTAGCACCATTCATATGAGTCCAGAAGACCAAGGTACATTTTGGTCCCGTAAGAGAAATAACAGGAGTAAGGATGTCAGCCATGTCACCAAATTTCCCATTCGAACTATCAGCATACAGATACCAGCCATCTGTGGTATTTCTGGGGAAAGAGTGTAGCAGATTTCAAAAAGAAAAAACATCGTGAAACATAACATAGTTGGTCACTGACCATATTTTATCACTGTATACTTGTTTCCTAAAAGTACAACACTCTGAGCAGGATTATGGTCTCAGATCTTCATCAGAAATAATTATTCTATCATTTTGAGTTTGAAGTCATGCTCCTTATAATGATAACCATCGAGACAATAAATCACGGCGCAGGCTAAGTGATCAAATGTATATGACTGATATTTTCTTTTAAACAACGACACTGCAAATATCCTGATGTGCTTTTAGACTTGATTTTCATGTGGACAGAAAAGGCACCATGTCTAGCAGTGGTGCAGGCAGACAAAAAGAATGTGAATAAATAGGGTAAAGAAACAGAAACAAAATTTGTTCCCCTCATAGATCTGAAAGGCTTTCATTCATTCATTCTTTCTTTTTTTTTTTTTTTGGTACCAGGAATCGAACTCAGGTCCTTGCCCTTGAAAAACAGGCAGTGGAGCCACTGAGCTAAATCCCTGGCCCAGAAAGGTTTTCAGTTCAAATTTATTCAATGTTAATTTAGTTCAGTTTCACTTCAACCTATTTTAATAACCTGACAGATAAGATGAGCCTTTTCTACATTCAAAAAGGAAAATGGAGATGGAGATGGAAACAATTAAATGTCTACTTAATTTTGCTATAAAAGCACCTACATTATCAGTTCAAAACAGAGATGATAAAGCAGTAGAGGCAGGCTAGGCTATAGACAGATTTTGAAGCATTAAAGAAGTAATTCTTCACCTTTTGGGGGTGGCACCCTCGTTTGCTTAAGTTGATTCCTTGCCACTTTATAACCTAAATATAGTCACTGGTTCTTACAGCGTTTAACCTAGCTATGCATTGAAAAATTTTTATTTTGAAATTTATCCTTTTTTTTTTTCTTCCTGGAACTGAGATTGGACTGAGGACCTTAAGCTTGGGAGGCAGGTGCAGCACCACTGAGTTATAACCTAAATATAGTCACTGGTTCTTACAGCGTTTAACCTAGCTATGCATAAAAAAATTTTTATTTTGAAATTTATCCTTTTTTTTTTTCTTCCTGGAACTGAGATTGGACTGAGGACCTTAAGCTTGGGAGGCAGGTGCAGCACCACTGAGCTAAATCCCTGGCCCTCCATGCTTTGTTTCGTTTTTTTTTTTTTTTCTTTTTGAGAAAAGAAATATAAATTATTAACAGCAACCAGACAGCAGACAGAGGTATTCACCCAGCCACCACGTATTTTGAGGGCTCAGTGGGTGACGGGTTTGCCAGGGCTGTCCGAGGCTCCAGGAACACAAATGTCAGCAAAAGAGCTTACAGGTTTTGGCCTCTGGCCTTCTCATTTACTGTTGGGGCACCTTTCAGCAGAGCATGTGACTTCTCTGAACACATCAGTTTTACATTTGGTGAAACCGGTAGTTCTTACGTGGTTTTACTAAGAATGAGGCATACAACAGGTGGAACATCTAACACAGTACCAAGCCCACTTTGATAAGTTTGGTGGTAGCTGTAATCCACACTGATGTTTATGTCCTTAGGTGCTGCCAATGAAATAAAAAGTTTAGTCCACTCCAAACTGGAGGGAGTGAGCTAAGAATCTTGAAGAGGCAGGAGATTGTGTCAGGGTCATTACTTATTTCTGAGTGGAAAAGCCTGCTCATATGTATGTTTAATTCCCCAATGTTCCAGGGAAACTGAGAACAAATTAAATACTTGATACATATAGAGCAGTCTGCAGGTAGGGTCTACCCATTCAGATATACAAAGGCAACAGTGAGGAAAACCTGCAGACTGCTCTATATGTATCAAGTATTTAATTTGTAAATCTTCAAGCAACAGTTGAGATCATTGCAATTTCATAATGCTTTATCACAGAGGTGTTTGAGTTTCCATCCCACAATGTTTTATTGCTGCACCTGAAGCTCGATTTGTGTCATCTCATCCCTAGAATAACTAGCCTCTGTGTTTTCCCACTTCTACTCTGGACTCATTTTATTCTTTTCACATCACTTAAAGTAGTCTTTCAAAAATAAAGATAGATTGTATTGTGACCCCAAATCCACCTTTGCAAACTTGTTAATGTTTTCCATATGGACTTAGGAAACAATAATAATATTTAACATGCCATTCTTTCTCAATTTTATTAGTGCAAGTTTGCCGTGCATGCATTCTACAGTCACCTTGGGGAGGTGGTCCGTGTACATAAACACAGCTCTTTTCTTTTTTAAACCCCTTCCCTACTTTCCCTCCCTCTTCCTCTAGCTCTCTTTTTCCCCTTTTCATTCTTGTTGATGTTGCTAATCTTACTTCACGTTTTTATATAATGTCCATGTCTGTGGAAGCTCTTAGGACCTCGTACCTGGCAACTCTTCACTCTGCCTATTTCCCCATCACCTGCCCCTCACACCTCACCCTTGGTCTGCTGGATGCTTTTCCAAATGCAAGAGAACTACCCCCTTGTCTCAATCCATCCTTCCCTTATTTTTCTCTTAGTTTGTACTTTGTCTTACCCAGATGAGAGACGCCGCATGTTAGTCTGTGCATCTGATTTATTTCACTCAACATTACATTTTCTAGGTGCATCCATTTCCTACAAATGTCTCAAATGCGTCCTTCTTTGTACCCTGGTAGTATTCCATGATATGTAGGTACCACAATTTCTTTATGCAACATCTGTGAATGGGTATGCGAACTGCTTCCAGGATTTAGCTATTAAACATTGGTACGCATATATCACTGTAGTACGATGTCTTAGCACTTGGGTGAATATATCTAGAGGGGAGAAGACTGGGTCATATGGAATTTGTAACTTCAGTACTATGAGAAATCTCCATACTGATTTTCATAATGGCTATAGTTTGAATAACCACCAACAATGAAGGAGGGTTACTTTTTATGCCACACTCTCACCAAATTTTTTTTTATTTCTTGATGATTGCCACTCATTTGATTTCACAGGATGGAATTTTAGTGTTCTTTTAATTTGCACCTCTCTAATGGTCAGTCATGTTGAGCATTTTTTCATATATCTGTTGGTCACTTGTATTTCTTCCTCTGTGAAATGACTGTTCATTTCACTTGACTAGTTCTTGACTAGTTCTTTAATTTAGGTGGTTGAATTTTTTTTTGAGTTCTTTATAAACTCTAGATATTAGTCCTCTGTCTGAAGAGTAATCAGCAAAATTATTTCACCATTCTATGGGTTGTCTCTTCACTCTACTTTTGATTCTTTTGCTGTATAGAAGCTCTTTAGTCTGATTTAATCCCATCTGTTGATTATTGCTGTTATTTCTTGTGCAATTATGTTATGTTTAGAAAATCCTTTCTTATAACTATGTCTTCAAAAACTTTACCTATTTTATCTTCCCATAAGTTTAATCTTTCTATTTTATTGTTTAGATATTTGATCCATTTTGATTTTAATTTAGTGCAGAGAGAGAGATTTGAGTCGACTTTCAATCTTTTGCAAGCCAATAAGTTTTCCCTGCACCATTTGTTGAATAGGCTAAAGTTCCTCCAATGTATGCTTTTGTTCTCTTTGCTAAAGATCAAATAGCTGAACCTGTCTTGGATGTTTTGTATTCTCTATTCTGTTCCACTGATCTTCATATTAGATTTTGTTCTGGTACTGTTCCATTTTTATCACTACTGTTTTGTAGGACAGCTTGACATCTGGTAATTTAAGGCCTTCTGCTTAGCTTTTGTGGCCAAAAATTGCTTTCAGTATTTTGTGTCTCTTCTGATTTCATATAAATTTTAGGATTATTTTCTCTACTTCTGTGAAATATGCTGTTGGTATATTGATTAAGACTGTATCACATCTATATGCCACTGTAATTTCTACATAGCTTTGCCTCTGCCTCCTGCTGGAAAAGGTAGTTGGGAAGAAATATGTCCGATTTGCTCTCCTGTGGGAGTACGTTCTGGCACTAACACTGGACACGAATTGTAGGAGTCAGTGTTTTCCATATAACTCTTCCCAAACGGATTAAAATATATACTGAGGGCTTCCAGGAATACAGTGGATGGTGAGCAGCAGAGAAACAGCCTCTTCTACCTTTGGACGCTAGATGCCCGAATACAGAAATGTAAAGAAGAGAAATAGGAGGGAGGTGGGTTCCAGGGACCCGGCCAGGATCTGAAGTGAGAATTAGCCCACAGGGAGAATGAAGAAAGAGTCCACAATGTGGAGGAGGGAGGAGGCAAGCAGTGCTTTCTCTCTGAGCCCTGGCTTGAGTAAGAGGGAGGTCTGGAACCTGCAGAGGAATGGTAACTACTGGTGACCACAGAGGCCTCCATGAAAAAAACACGCACCAGGGCATGGAGCGGCAGAAGCTGCAGAGTGCGTGGCTGCTGAGTTGTTTGGGGTCAGACATCTCCCAGGATAGGGCGATTGGCCAGGAGCCACTTTGGAAAGGAACCAAGGAAATCAGCCCTCAGGGCAGCTGCAGGTTCACTCTATCTAGCAGCTGCCAGTGTCAGGGTGAAGTACAATCAAGTTTACCTGGCAGGAGGTCAGGGAGCTGAGCTCAAATTGGCAAGACTCACTTAGAGCATTATATGCTGAAAAACTCACATCCCATACTCATAACTAGAAACCAAAACCAGCCTGGATTTCAGTGAAACTAAAGCCATAGGTTTGCTGGGATTACCCACCATTACCGTAAGTCTACCGTTGGCTTGCTGGGATCAATCAATAGGGACTGGTGCAGTCTTCCCCATCAACAAGTGACAGCAGAGACACGTCCTGAAGGGAGCTTTTTGTTTCCTTTCTTAGCTTTTAAATTTTTTTTACTATTTTTCTCTTTTTCTTGATTGACCTTGTTTTTATATGAGGGAGAACACTGTTTCTAGCTGTATTGTTTGTTGTTTCTCTTTCTTCTTTCTTTCATTCCTACCTGCTATACCATTCTAGACTTACATTTACTCCCTTTCTCTTCTTCTATTTCTAACTTGTTTTAAATTTTCTG